ACCACCGCTGGTCCGTTCTCATTCCCGCAGGCGAGAGGGCCGCTGGGTCAAATGTAAGCTCCAGCACATCACGTTGTTTTCACCAAAGGCAGCTCTTGCAAACCGTTCACTTTCAGCCACGGGGCCCAGGGAGCTGCCCTGCCTGCGGTAGAGAAATCCGGGCCCCCGTCCTGCTGTGCGTGCCAGCCAGCCTGCCCCCGGCTCTGCCCGGCACGTAGCAGCTCAGCACCGCCCCCTCTCTGGTCACGGGCACCTCGCCCCCGGGGAGCGGAGACCCTGCCTCCACACCGGGCTCTGGAAGGCAGCTGTTCCCCAGCAGCTGCCGCCTGGCTCGCCAAGGGCAGGGAAAGTCTCAGGAGGCGTCCGCCCCGTAGAGAATTGCACTAGAGTTGGGAGTAGAGGCGAAATGAATCCACCCGGACGGCTGGGTTCATCTCTTTCCAAGTGACTCAGTGCTTTTGTCCCCCCTCCCTCTCGTCCTCCCCACAGGGCAGCCTGCAGATGATGTCTGAGGCCCGAACCGGAGAGACTCCTGCTCCCGGTTGAGGAGTGGAAAGCCCTAACTGGACCCGCCTGGTCTCTGGGCTCGGAGCCTGGGCCCTCTGCGGCCTCCTCCGCTGGCTCTTTGTACTCGGGTGCCTCGGAAGGGCTGCCCCTTGGGGGGCAACGTCTCAGCAGCGAATGTGGGCCCACCATGCAGGGCGCCTGCCCCCCGCGCAGTGGGAGGGCACGATGTGGTCTCTCTGCACACAGGCTGCTGCCAGGTGACAGGGGCCCGGGGGCTGGGGCTCTGTTGCCCACAGCTCTTTTGTGGCAGGGAAGACGGGAACCAGAGCTAATTTAATAGGGTCCTGAGGCGCCCTGGCAGCGGGATGGTTGCAGCTTCCTTTGTGGAGAGTCAGCCCTGCCATAGCAACCTGCCTTCTAGTGTCTAGAAGAGCTGTATTCAGCCTCATGACTCTCCCCCCCCGCTTTTTTTTTCAATTGGGAAAGGGGGAGGAAGTAGGGAGAAAGGGCTCCGATATAAGCAGTTACCAAGGAGACCCGAGTCGGGGTTGGAAAGGTTTTCTCCTTCCCTCAGTCCATACAGGCGGAGGAGGGGCGGGCGCCCAAACGCAGGGGATCGCCGGAGGTCCCGGGCTGGAGTGGCGAGTCCTCCCTGCGCCCGTGGGGACGGGTGCAGGCCGGGGCTTGGCAGAGGCTCCGGCAGGGCTGGGGTGTCCAGGGCACTCCGAGCTCACGGCCCGCCCCGCCAGCACTGCGGAGGGATGGACAGAGCCCGAGTTCCTGGCCACTGGCTCCCTGCCCGTTTCCGGGAGACGGCCGGAACCTGCCTTCTCCCTTAAGTCCTGGGGTCGGGAGAGAAGCCATGGGGTGCACGTACTCCTCTCCGCGGGACGAGCCCACCCTGAGAAGGTCAGTTCCAGACGTGTCCCTGCGGCAGCCCGCGCCGATGCGCCTCGGGAGGGGGCCCCCGCCTGGGCAGGCTCAGCCTGGAGGCATGACGAGGCTGCCCTGTGGAGTTGACCAGCAGAGTCAGGCGGTTCCCCGGGGGGCCCACCGGGTGCATGGGACCACTGGTCTCTTGCTTGGGTCCCGGTTTGCAGGCTGCAATCCCTGCCTCCGAAGGAAGGCCCCAGTGGCCGGCTCCCCGACCTGGGAAAGAGCGGGCTCCAGGCACACAGCCCGGTGAGGAGCTGTCCGGCGGGGTCGGGCCGGGTGAGGGCACGCAGGTGTGGACCCACGCGGACGGAGCAGGTGAGTTCTGCCGCCCCGAGCCTGGCAGCCGGGCTTTGTGGCAGGGGGTGGGGGGGGGGCAGGTTCTCCTGCTCCTCGAGGCTGCGTGTAACCGGTGGGAACATCGGCAAACTGCACCGGGTCGTGTCAGGGCGGTGACTAGAGGCACCGGGTCCTCCTGAGTCTCCTCGGCTCTCCCTTTCTCCCCATGCAGCACAGTCCTCCCCGGATCTCTGGAAGCCATCCCCGGAGCCCAGGGGAGAGGGTGGGAGTGTTCCTGCTTTCCCAGGGCTGAAGCTACTGAAGGGGCCCGTGCTGGCCTCCAGAGGTGCTCACGCTTCTAGAGAGAACTTCCCCTCCGAGCAGGAGGGCTAGCCCATCTTGCCCGCCCTTGAACGTTCCCAGCCAGGCCTGCCTGGCGAGCCCCCCACCTCCCTGCCCCCCACTTCCCGAGCTGCCAGCCTGGAATTCCCGCCCCATGCATGTGTCAGAGCCACGCACCCCTGGGCGGCCAGAGCTGAGCTCCGCCCGCCCGCCCGCCCTCCCCACCCCCAGCTGCATGAGCCTCATCCAAGAGCCCGTCGGCTGCCCGGTTTCTGTGGCTTTCCCTTGGGAACCGTTTTCTATCTCAGAAGAAAGCCCAGTTCTTCCGCAAGGCCTTCGCTGGTGTCTTCAGACGCCCTGTGGGTGGACTGTCTGGTCCACCCTTTTGGTCTTAGCACGTACCACCCAGTGCCACCGGGCATCTTTCAAGTCCCAGAGTGACCCAAACGGCTTTCTTCCAGGGAACACCCTCTTTATCCCTGAGAGTTAACCAGGCTCCAGATGCTCTACAAGGAACAGGGAGGGGAGGGCGCAGAAGCCAAGACACAGTGTTTTCAGTAAGAGGAATCTGAGGCCTTGCAAGGCCACCACTCGTCCGTCACAGGCCCATTTGGTGGCAGATCCAGGATTCAAACTCGAGCCTCCCCCACTTCGGGGGGTGGGCCTCCCATCCTCCATGATTGTCCGCGGAGGCTGATGCTGGCACTCGCAGGGTGGTGGGGGCACCCCTCCTGCTTCTGTGAGCGAGTCTCAAATCCCCCTTCCTCAGATGCAGCTTCTATGAAACCTTAGTCCTTGAGAAGAGGCAGGAGTTGGCTTTTCTGCTGCTGTCAGACCCTGACGTCAGGTGGGTCAGGAGCCCTCCAACAGCCTTCTCCGGCCCGACCGGCCCAGAGGCCACGCTCAGTGCCGGGCGCGGGGCTGAGCGCAGAGGCCCAAGCAGCTCCCCGCAAGCCTCAGATCCAGCAGTGAGTCGGGAGCATGGAGTTGAGGGCCCGGACGGAGGCCTGTGTGCCACGTGAGCAGCAGGGAGAGGCGTTCCGAAGAGGAACTTGTGCGTTGTGTCTTAAGGGATACATAGGCGTCTGGGACAGAGAGGAAGGGCATCGTGAGGAGAGGCTCCGGGGCAGCCATGAGCGGGAGGTCGGCGTGGCCCTGGGCGTCTGGAAAGTGCGAGACGTGCTCCGCACCAGAGGCCTCTGTGCTCCTCGGAGTAGCGTCTGTGCTACGGTCCCTGCTCGGGGCTTTGCTTTCCTAATTGTCCTCGTTGGACGGAGCCTTCCAGATCTGTCTCCACGCACATTTCTAAGCCTAGGATGCAGTTTTTATGTTCTTGGCACAGAAGCGTTACGTGCTCGTTGTAGGAAAAAGAGCGGTGGGGGACCTGGGAATAGAAATCAGCCAAAGAAGGAATCAAAAAAGACAGTCACTCAGCCCTGGGAGGGAACAGTTTTCAGCGTGCTCTTGTGTGCCCTTCCGTACCTTCCCTTCTAATCGGAATGGAATTGTGCCACCTGCATTATTCTATAACCTGCTTTTTCCACTTGGCAGCGTATCTCGAGCATCCTTCCCTGCTGGTGGATGTGATCCACGCTCCCTGATTCTTAGACATTGGAGTTGTCCCCTCCTTTTATAACTGTAAAATGCATTTGTAATTTGAAAAACCAAAATTGGGAACATCACAGGAAGCACCTGCCTCGTATTCTAACCCCGCAATATCCCCCTCCAGGTGCTGGGGTATTTCCCTGGAAGCCCTGTCTCTGGGAATAATTAATGGTGTGTGTTCCGTTATTTTAAGGACACACACTAAGCGGCCACGTGGGAGGGAGGCCGTGTCGTGGTCAGCACTGGGGGGGGGGGGCACAACTGGGTGGATGCTTTTTAGGTGTCAACTAAGTGCATTTCGTTTGTTTCGTTTTCAGTTGAAGGGAAACTCACACCTTGTGAACTTTGCCATTCTGATCATTTTTTTAAAACGTACAGATCAGTGGCTCTCGTGTGGCCATGGCCACGTACAAAGGGAAATCACGTGTGCCCTGGGAGCCCCTGCTCTTCTCTTCTAGTGTCTCATCAGCAAGGTTTGCGTTGCCGAAGTGTCCGTTCACGTTCGAGTTTGTTTCAGCGTAGGTCGTCCGCTCCCACGGCTCAGAATTCAGCAGGCGTGCAGTGGTGGGAGTCCCAGCTCCGAGCCCCGGGAGAGCGTCCTGGTCCCAGCGGAACACAGACGGGAAGGGCAGGGAAGACGGGGCTGTTCGAAGTGGGGCAGGGACAGAAGCTGGACATGTGGTCTGAGATGTTGGAGCAGGGAAGGGAGGGGTGCGGGCCTGAGGGCCCCCAGGCTTGCTCTTGCCCTGCTTCCGGGAGGGGTGGGCCTGCCCCGGGGGCGGGGGGGCTCTGGGTTGGTGATGCAGAGTTGGGGAGGGCCTGCTCCGGGTTCCTGGGCAGCGGGACCATGGCTGGGCGGGAAGGTCTGGGCAGCGGCACCCTGCTGCCTCCCAGGGGACCCCACAGGTAACGCCCTTGAGCCCTGGGTCCCTGGACCTAATGTAGTGGAAAACCCAGGGGGGCGTAGACAGGAACTTCTGCTACCTTTATGTTTGCAAAATCGTGTGTCTAAACAGCTTCGCAGAGCCCTCCTTAAAAGGAAGCTTCCTTGTTGGTCTTTCCACAGACTCCAGCCCCCTGGCCCCCACAGACAGCACTTCCATGCAGTGGTAGGGTGTGCGCATGACTTTATTACACTGTCCCGTGCACAGGAGGCCGCAGGATGTCGTGGAAAGGGCAAAGACCTTGGAGTCAGACTGCGATCGGGCCGTTGCCTGACCCCCTTACTGGCCACAAACTAATATGCTGTTGGGCCTCTGGAAGGTGGGCACCCAGTCCCCCCGGACACAGTGCTGCACCCTTATGTCCGTGTCGTCATGCGACATTTGCAAAAGCGTGCAAAGTGGTGTTTGTTAGTCCCGTTTTCAAGACGAGGAGCAACGGAGCCCAGGTTCAAGTTCACTCGCTGCAAGTCTGCAGGCTGCAGCCCGGGCTGCCTGGCTCCAGAGCCCCTGCTCGGCCCTCCCCCTCGTGGCACCCCTGCCGGCCTGAGGGTGTTGTTTGTGGGAAAAAGTGGGTTTGAGAAGCAAATTGTGGAAGCACAAACTTTATTAAAATAGAATATCCACAGACAGGTACACGCAGAGAGATGATCTCAGCAGGTGAGCAAGGGGGAATTACCGCCCAGATCAAAGCGCAGATTGTTCTCGGTGCCCTGGGAGCCCCTGCTGTCCCTTGCCGCATCCTGACTCCAGTCCATGTGCATTGGTTTCGCCTGTTTGGGGACTTTGTACAATGAAGTCGTACTCACACTCTCTCTTCCATCTGGCTTCTCACGCTCAGCACCCCACCCTGGGACTCATTCATTCATGCCGCGGTGGAGAATATTCCGTTGTCTAAATATGCCACCGTCGGTTTGTTTGTTCTCCTACGGGTGGACGTTAATTAGGGTTGTTTCCCGCTTGGCACCCACATGTCTAACACGGCTGGAACATTCTATGCGCGTATCTCGATGCACGGGCCCCGCTGTGCTCTGTCTGGTGTGCACCAGGGAGTGAGGTGCTGGGTTATGGGCGGACAGAAGAGACTGCCAAGCAGCGTTCGGGAGCAGCGGAGCCGAGGTCCATTCCAGCAGCTTCGGCTTCCTTCCTGGTAGGAGCCGTTCTAATGAGCGCACGGTACACCGCGCTGTGGTCTTATTTCCCGTTTCCCTGGTGACTAACAATGCCGCCACTCTCGACAGTAGCGTTAGATGCTCTCTCTGAGAAAGCGCTTGCTCAGGTCTTTTGACAGCTTTTCTGTTGGATTATCCAGTCTTTTGCTAGTTGATTGGTAGGGTTTTCTTATGTTCTCCACCCGAGTCAGATACACAGAAGTTGCAGACACCTGCCGTGCCGTGGCTCGCCTCTCAGTTCCTTAATAGTGCCGTTTTGAACGGAGACGGCCACACTTCAGCGTTCAGACTTGTCACTTTATTCAGATGGGCCGCACCGCACACATCCCGAAGATTTGCCATTCAGAGAGAGGTCTGGTTTTGGCGCCTTGCTGTCTTAGGCCTGAGGGTCCCTGGCCAGGCTCACTGGGCATCTTTATTTTTTATTTTTTCTTATTTTTTTAAGGATTTATTTATTTTAGAGAGAGTAAGAGAGCACGAGCGGGAGGGGGAGAGAGAATGTCCAGCAGATTCCACATGGCGCGTGGAGCCCGACGCGGGGCTCGATCCCACGACCCTGAGATCACGACCTGAGTCCAAACTGAGTCCGACGCTCAGCCGACTGCACCACCCAGGCGCCCCTCACTGGGCTTCTTTAGATGACCCTGCAGGCCTGGGCAAGGAAGAAGAGAAGGGAAAGGACCGGAAATGGAACGGGGGGCAGGCGGCCAGCAGCAGGGAGGTGGAGGGTGGGCCGGCAGTGGTGCTGCTCTCGGGAGGATGAGGTGCAGGATTCTAGAAGGTGCTACAGCCCCAGGGAACAGGTCACAGTGGCCCCAGTGCGGGGACGGGAAGGGGTCTTGGGAGCGGAGCAGGGGTCTGTGGGGTGAGGCAGTGGATGGGAGCATTGGGCCAGAGGCCACGCTGGGACACAATCCTGAGGGCCATCCCGGAGGAAGTGGTGTACAGATCGGTGCGTCCGAGTATGGCGTGTGGAAGGGAGTGGCAGGCGAGGCCGGGGACAGCTTCTGAAGGGACTTGCGTGCCCTGGTCTGTGGCCTTGGGAGCCCGCGGGGACTGGAGGTGAGATAGGGCCATAGGGACCCTTGGTTGGATGGCGAGGGACGGGAGTAACGTCCTTGACCCTTCTTTGCTCGCATGGATCTGGGGGCTGGAGGGCCTGCCTCTGGCAGCGGTGGCGTCTCAAGAGGCTTTGGACTGGCTGCAGAGGACGTGGGGAGGCTGAGCCGGAGGGGAGCTCAGAGTCCTGCCCTCGGGCCACGCGCATTCCATGCCCACCAGGTACTTTTGTCTTTCAGGACTTCCTCCGTCAAAGACAGCAGCTTTGTGGAAAAGATGAAGAAGACGGTGAGTTTTCTCCATGTCTGTGCCCTAACCCGGGGGGTCGTGGCCCTGGTGGACGAGGGAGGGAGGCCAGCTCCTCTGGACAGGAGGGGAGAGCGGGCGCGAACATTCTCGGCTAACCAGAGCCCGAAGTTGCTCTGCCCTGCCCAGAAGGCTTACCCTCTTTTTCGGATGTTTACTTCTTGAACCAACTGCACTGTAAGACTAGCCCCTCCCTCCGACTCGGGGGGCTCTCCCTTGTCCTTCCTCCGGTCCAGGCCCCGGGCTGGAGCAGATAGAAACCTCACACAGCTGTGGCCAGAGCCCGGCTGTGGTTTTCTCTGGTTTTGTTGGAAGTATTTCGTTTTATGGGAAAGTACTACATTCAAACGCTTAAAATCCCAAACAAACTCTCCTGTCCCTGCCACTAATCACCATTGTTCTTAGCCTTTTGTGGATCCTTCTAGGGCTCCTCTATGCCACCAAAAACCCCCCAGATCCTTATTTTACATCTTCTCAGAACACAAAAGGTGGCAATTATAGGTCATAAACCATGCTTTTCTGTACCTGGTTTTTTTGTTTTTGTTTTAACTTATTGATGTGTGTCAGAGCTCCTTCCATAGCAATTCCAAGACCCCTCCCTCTTTCACTGTAGCTGCCTAGTGATTTCATTCTGTGACCTTGAATACGATCCTTTGTTTTTGCTCTGCCCTGTTGGGGAGGGGGGGAGGGGGCGTCGGACTATTTCTAACCTTTAGCTCTTACAAACGATGCTGCTGGGACCCTGGAGACCAGTGTCCACATCTGCAAATACAGTAAAATCCCAGAAGTGGAATTGTTGGATCCAAAGGTGTGTGCATTTGTAATTGTGATAGAAGCTGCCAGATTCCCGCCCCCTGCAACGCCCGCCTGCCCCGGGGTCACACCAGTGCACCCTCGTTAGCTGTGTGTGAGCAAACCTGTTGCCCCACAGCCTTGCCAGGAGAGTTTATCATCCAAGTTTGGAGGTTTGCCAGTTTTCTCGGTTAAAAAAAGCTGTCTCCAATTTGCATTTTTCTTGTGAATGGGTTTCAGCAGATTCTTGTGTGTTATGCCAATGGCATTTCTTTTTTTTATAGATTTTCTCTTCAGATCTTTTGCCCACTCTTCTGTCGGGATTGATCCTTCTCGAGGAATTCCTTAAAATGATGGAGAGTAACCCCTTGTTTGTGACACAAGTTACAAATATTTTCCCAGTTAAAAGTTTGTGTTTTGACCTGGTTCATGTGCACGCATGCGTGTGTGTGCGTGTGTGTGTGTTGCCGTGTAAAGTTATTCAGTGAGGGCACTTTATTCCTCCTGTGACTTCTGGACTTTCGGTTATTTGCAATTTGAGTCATTAAGGCTACAGAGAAAAGAATCCTTGCACATTTTCTTTTCAGTGCTTTCTAATACTTTCTCATTCATAATTAAAATTCAGTCTGTTGGGAATTTATCCTGCTGTACGATGCGAGGCATGGATCCACTGCTAAGCTCCATGCAGTTGCGCCCGTCTTTTCCCCACTGGTTTTATCAAATATATGATTCCCACATGTATTTGGGCCTTTTTCTAGATTTTCCTGTCACAGTACTTTGATCTGGCTGTCTGTGGACAGTATCCTACTGTTTCAGTTACTGAGGTTTTACAAAGCTTGCTTTAATTTCCATATTGCTAGGCCCCGCCCCCAACCCACCCCAGCTCTTATTTTCCTGTTTTCCTGGCCATTATTTTATATGTATTTGTCTGGGGTAACGGCTTTAGTGAGATACAGTTTACATTGCATACAGATCACCCTTTTAAAGTATACACTTCAGTACTTTGAATGTATTCCCAGAATTGCACCAACCACCACCACCGTCCATTCTAGAACATTCGGTACCCCAAAAAGCCACCCTGTACCCATTAGCAGCCATTCCCCACTCCCTAACCCACACCCCCCTCAGCCCGAAGCAACCGTTCATCCACTTCCTGGGCCCCTTAGAGAGTTGCCTGTTGGGGACCTTTCCTATAAACGGAATCATTCCGTGTGTGGCCTTTCGTGTCCGGCACCTTTCACTGAGCTTCGTGGCTTCGGGCTCCATTTCGTGGCACGTGCCGGCCCTGCTTTCCTTCTCATTGCCAAATCACATTCCAGCAGAGGGATTTATTTCTCCACACGACCTTGAGGATGAAGTTGTGGGGGTAAAAAGAGCTGTTCGGATGTTGCGCTGACTGGTGTTGGTTTCTGGATTGATGCGGGGAGAACGGATCTCTTGAACGTTGAGTCTTTGTGTGCAAACTCCGGGCCTCTTGTTTCGGTTGAATCCTTCATCAGGAGCTTCTTGCAGGTTCCCCGGAAGGGTTATCTCTAAGTACTTCATATGTTTTGATGCCGCTGTAAACATTTAGGCACTATTTCATAGTCTGTTTTGTCCCCTTAACCTGAAATCCTAAGACTTCCCTGTTTTGCTAGTTTTTGTAACGATTCTTTAAAAGAACCTTTGTAGATGATCTATAGGACATTCAGGAAATAGAAAAGGTATGAGAACAATTTAAAGCAATTATAATCCATACATCTTTTTTTCCTTTGTACCCACACATTAGGGCTCCGTGGAAAAACCAGACAGCAGTCTAGGGCTTGAGGGCTCTGGAAACCTACCGCAGAGAGACCTCATGTTACATAAAGGGACCGGAAGGTGGACATGCCTGGCTTCCGCCTCCCAGCCTTCCACATCCAGTCAGCTGGGCCTAATTTGCTGCACCCCAGGCCGCAAGGGAGTCTGGGGAATAGAGGTCTGGCTTCTCAACAGCTGCGGGAGAGGCCACAGGAAGAGGCGGGTGGAGTGAAGAGCGTGGGAGCCCGTCCACTGGGTACCTTTCCTATCGTCTGGATTTTTATAAAGAATATTCTGTAATCACAGTTCTCCATGTGGAGACTATTGGTCTGCTTCTTGCTAGTCTTTCCCCCTTGTGCATTTGTGTATAAACAAAACGCACAGAGGTACACATGATGTGGGTCTAGAACAAAATGGGAGTATACTGTACATACCTGTTTGGTCACCTTTTTTTTAACTGAACATTACATTGTGTTTTTTTCCCGTGTCATTTAATAATCTGTCCAAAGTGTGATCTCGAGCAGCTGCGTGTCTGGGTGGCCTTGGTCACCGTCCATCACAGTAGCTGTGGCAGCGAGAGGGTTGCCCCAGGACTTAGGAGGACTGGAGGCAGGAAGGGAGAGGGTCCCCTTGAGGGACCCCACCTGCCTAGCCTGCCCTGCGGTCACCTGGAGTCTCAGGTGAAGCCTGTGGCTCTTGGTCCCTCACTGACCCCGCGTGTCTTGCTTTCTCTAGGGCAGGAACATCATCGTGTTCTACGGTTCCCAGACGGGGACGGCGGAGGAGTTTGCCAACCGCTTGTCCAAGGACGCCCACCGCTACGGGATGCGGGGCATGGCTGCAGACCCCGAGGAGTATGACTTGGTGAGCACTCCCCGCACCTTGGCCCTTCCAGTAGCGACGGAGGCGTCCAGAGCATGGAGACGTGTAAGAGACTGAGCCAGCCGAAGGGACGGACAGTCATGGGCATCTCCTGTTGCTGGTCCGGGTCACCGGGTGGCCCTGGGCGTGCAGGTGTGAGCTCCCGGCGCCGTGCATGTCCAGCCTCCCCTGCCCCGCACGCCATAGGCTTGCCCGGGCTGGCCGGTGCAGGGAGACGGGACTCAAGCACCTAGTGGATCGGGTCTCAGCAGTCCAGGAAGGAAGTGTTTCTCGTTTCTCCCTTGCGCCCCCAAACCGTAGCGGCAGGGGAGGCAGCCCGGGCAGCCCGGGATGGGCACCGCACGGAGCCCTGCAGCTAGGCTGTGAAACGAGGCTTTATTAAAAAGCTCGTGTATTAACTGGAACAGGAACAGGGCCGGAGGGAAGGGCCCAGGGAGCCTGAGAATTGGGGATTAAGGTCCCCTGTTGGGAGCTGCAGGATGCCCCTGTCCCCCATCAGCTCCCCTCAGGTCACCCCAGGCCTGTCTGCCGGACTTAGTGCTCACGTCCTGCTTTCCACTGCCCCCAGCCTCTCCTGCAGGGGGCGCAGGGCAGGCTCGCCTTGCTCATTGGCCTCCTGTCATTGGCTGTTTGTCCTTTCCTGAGCATGGCGATGGAAACTTCCAGCCATCTGCTTGCCTGTTTATGGGGGGGGGGGGGGGTAGGAGAGCTAATGCCAGCCAGGTCGCCGGCCCCAGGGAGGGGAAGAGGCTGGCCAGGAACAGGTGGTCCTGGGAGAAGTCCGGAGTTGCCGTCCTGCTCCTCCCCGGATGGGGTCCTTGTGGGTCATGGCCCAGGCCCGACCTGTACGCGGCCCAACGTCCTTTAGTCTCGGGGACCAGCACTGCCACCCCTCTGGCTGCAGATCTCTGTGTTAGGTTGGTCAACAGTTGGTAAGGAATTTGCAAGAGCCCAGGCTCCGCTGTGCTCCTGGGACTTTGTGGGACGAAGAGGCTCTCCCCCAGGGGCCCAGGTTCTGAGTGCCAGCTGGGGGCTCAGCACCCAGGCCCTCACCCGTGTTCATCTGAGCCTGCCATTCCCTCCCCTCGGGAAATACACCCCCCTCCACTCCAAACTGCAGATGTCTAACTGTCCCACGCACCGGTTCAGCCCCTTCCGTGCAGGCCTCCCTGACTGCTCGGTGCCCTGTCCTGAAGGAATCCCCAGCCGACCCGGAGCCTGTGGGACGCCCCTGCCTGGCAGCTGCCCCAGGCAGGGCCTGGGCCCACCTGTCTGCATCCCATCAGGCACAGACCTGACGTGGCTCAGTCAGGGTTGCTGGGCCCGGGCCCCGCTCTTGTGTCCCCAGGCCGACCTGGGCAGCCTGCCGGACATCGAGAACTCCCTGGCCGTGTTCTGCATGGCCACCTATGGTGAGGGGGACCCCACGGACAACGCCCAGGACTTCTACGACTGGCTCCAGGAGACCAACTTGGACCTCACTGGAGTCAAGTATGCGGTGAGTCACCCCATCTTATCTGCAGTGGCTTTCCCTGCCTGTGGCACCTCTCCCGGGCCTCTGGACCCCCGTGTCCAAGGGGAAAGCCTCCCTCCCGTTGCCACCTCACTCTGATCCACCAGGCCCTTCCAGCTGGGGGGCCTGGTGGGGAGGCCGGGGGGAGGCTGCTCTGGGGACAGCCCTCTCTTCTGGCCGGGGCCCCGTGCTGAGCGTCTCCTCCCCTGTCCCTGGCCCCACTTTGCTTCCCCGGGGGCACGGGCTGCGGGAGCTGACAGGCGAGAAAGGTGAAGCAGGCTGGCCCCGATTTGGCTGGGCCAGGAGCGCCGGGTAGGGACGGTGAGTTGCCCCTGCTGCTCACCCAGGGGTGAGGCTTACAGGCTGCAGGTCACCAAAACCCAGCCACTTCTGGGGGCCAAGGTGGCCCACCTCACTGTGCCGGGCATCTGGCAGCCGTGGAGGCCCGAGCGTGCACGCGGTGTGGCCGGCTCTGGGGAAACGCACCCCTGACCCTGACCAGGACTCAGACCCGCCCCTCTGCCCGCACAGGTGTTTGGTCTTGGGAACAAGACCTATGAGCACTTCAATGCCATGGGCAAGTACGTGGACAAGCGGCTGGAGCAGCTCGGCGCCCAGCGGATCTTTGAGCTGGGGATGGGCGATGACGATGGGAAGTGAGTGCCCCCCCTACCCACCCACCCAGCCCCGGAGCCCACGGGGGTTAGGGCCGACTGTGGCACGCGAGGGGAGTGGAGCACAAAGCCACGTGTCAGCGAGCCTCCTGCCAGGCACACCCCGAGGCAAGGGAAGGCAGTCCCCACCCCCCACCTGCACCCCCTTCTTTGTCTCACCCCCTCCTCTCGGCTGTCCCGGCCCCGGGGTTTGCACAAACCCTCCAAATGCTGCCCGGCGCCGTGGGTTACCTCCCTGAGGCCCTCGGGCTCCCCGGGGCTGGGCTCATTCCCTCGTGTCGCCAGCCTGGAGGAGGACTTCCTGACGTGGCGTGAGCAGTTCTGGCCGGCTGTGTGCGAGCACTTTGGGGTGGAAGCCACCGGAGAGGAGTGCAGGTGAGTGTGTGCCTGCAGGCTGGGCGGGGAGCGAGCGCCCCCCAAGGGTGGGAGAGCTGGCCTGCAGGGGCCCCGGCGGGGACCCCACGAGAAGCTGGTAGAAGCTGAGTCCCAGAGCGCGAGGCTGGGTCCAGGCACTCGGGCTCTGCTGGGCAGTGGGGGCTTTCCTTACCTTCTCATGGAATGGCCTCGAAGCCGGCAGCTCGCCAGGCCCCCCCAGCCCTCCTCCTTGTCGGCTCCCTCTCCTTCCCACCGCCTCCAGACCCTCCCCGCGGCGGGGTGGCAGGCGTGGTCTCAGTCCCTGTCCCTGAGGCAGCCTCCCTCCTCCCGGGCCCCTCCCCGCCTCACCCTGTCTCCCCTTCCAGCATTCGCCAGTATGGGCTGGTGGTCCACCCAGACATAGACCCGGCCAAAGTGTACATGGGAGAGGTGGGCCGTCTGAAGAGCTATGAGAACCAGAAACCGTGAGTAGAGGGCGTGCGTGGGGTCCCGGGGCCCACTGAGCAGCCAGCAGTCCTGTGTCCCCTCCTTATCTCCACCCTCGTCCCGGAGCGGGCAGGGGTGGGGGCACCCATGATTTCCTCCCCACCGCACAGGAGGGCATAAGGCCCAGAGCAGAGAGGCGGAGGCCGCCCCCCCCGGGCCCTCCCAGTGGTCCCTCAGGCCAGGGCACCGCACCTGGCAGACTGGCACTGGGTCCGTTAGCGCTTCCTTTGACCTTTTGCCCTGTAAAGATCCTGGGGCCAGGAGGCCCAGATCCGTGCCTGGACCAGGACAGCGTGAGTCTGGCTGAACTCTGGCAGAAGGGCTCACTTTCCTTAAAACCCACCTCGGTATTTGGACTTTTTTGTCCAAAAACAGTATTCCTCTCTCGGGCCCCTGACTCCCCTTACCCCTGGGTGCCACCCGGACCCCTAGAGCCGCCCAGGAAAAGTCCCTCCGTTACCCCAGAATTTAAGACCAGCGACTGTGCAGAGTAAAACTGCTGGTCCAGGGCATGTGGGGTGAAGGAGCTCTGCTCCAGTCACTGGGGGGCCGGGCACCCTCGGTCTTGGGGAGCCGTCTTCAAGGGGCCTGGTCCTCCTGCGCACTCAGCCCACAAACAGGTAGTATGTGGAGGGTCTCCCCGGGTTTTAGTGGCCAGCCTGTTTCCTTATTTGTAAATAGGGAACTGATAACCTAGTTCTGCTCACTCTGGGGGGTTGGTGGGGGCCCTGCCTTGGATCGGGCTGGGAGAACCTTTCACATATTTGGAGAGCCTTCCTGGGGCCCTTGGAGGCCGGCTCTAAGGTTCCCTGTGTTCTGTGAAACCTGAGGGGTCCCCTGGGGGCAGGGAGAGTCAGACTGAAGTCCCAGCCAATCACTGCGCTGCTCTCTTCCCCACCCAGCCCCTTCGATGCCAAGAATCCCTTCTTGGCTGCTGTCACTGCCAACCGGAAGCTGAACCAGGGAACGGAGCGCCACTTCATGCACCTGGAATTAGACATCTCAGGCTCCAAACTCAGGTGCCGGCAGCCGCCCCCTCCCCCAGCCCACTCAGGGCCTCTGGGCCGCCTTCCCTGACCCCCAACCCCTCCTGAGCCTCACGTTCCCCTCGACCCCCCACCCCCAGGTATGAATCTGGGGACCATGTGGCCATTTACCCAGCCAATGACTCTACCCTGGTCAGCCAGCTCGGTGAGATCCTGGGTGCCGACCTGGACGTCGTCATGTCCCTGAACAATCTCGATGGTGAGTCCCCTGGATTCGGGGGAACCCCCCCGCCACCCCAGGCCAGGCCCGAGCCCCCACAGTTCCAGGAGCTGGAGCAGACCTGCTGGTCAGCGGCCACTGAGCCCAGGCCCTCGTCCTCCTCCCTCCCCGCAGAGGAGTCCAACAAGAAGCACCCCTTCCCCTGCCCCACCTCCTACCGCACGGCCCTCACCTACTACCTGGACATCACGAACCCGCCTCGCACCAACGTGCTCTACGAGCTGGCCCAGCACGCCTCCGAGCCCTCGGAGCAGGAGCAGCTGCGCAGGATGGCCTCCTCCTCGGGGGAGGGCAAGGTAGGCCCGGCCCCGGCCCTCCCCTCCCGCACCCCTCCCGCACCCCTCCCGCACCCCGGTGTCCCCGGCCCCGCCCCAGCCCCGCCCTCGCCTCCTGCGCCCCGGCGTCCCCGGCCCCGCCCCCCGCGCCTCACCCTGCTACCGGCCCCCGCAGGAGCTGTACCTGAGCTGGGTGGTGGAGGCCCGGAGGCACATCCTGGCCATCCTGCAGGACTACCCGTCCCTGCGGCCCCCCATCGACCACCTGTGCGAGCTGCTGCCCCGGCTCCAGGCCCGCTACTACTCCATCGCCTCGTCCTCCAAGGTGCGCGGTCGGCCTCGGGGGCCGGGGCCGGGGCCGGGCCGGGGTCGGGGCCGGGCCGGCGCAAGGGGCCTCGGGCATGCGCTCACCCCTGCCCCGCCCCCGCCAGGTCCACCCCAACTCCGTGCACATCTGTGCCGTGGCCGTGGAGTACGAAACCAAGTCCGGCCGCGTCAACAAGGGTGTGGCCACCAGCTGGCTGCGGGCCAAGGAGCCCGCCGGGGAGAATGGCCGCCGGGCCCTGGTGCCCATGTTCGTGCGCAAGTCCCAGTTCCGCCTGCCCTTCAAGGCCACCACGCCGGTCATCCTGGTGGGCCCCGGCACCGGGGTGGCCCCGTTCATCGGCTTCATCCAGGAGCGGGCCTGGCTGCGGCAGCAGGGTGAGCACGTGGGCCCGGGGCGGGGTCCCGCGGGGTCGGGCGTGCCTCCCCTGCCCCTCCCCCCTTGCCCAGCACGGCCTCACCCCTGCCCTGCCACCAGGCAAGGAGGTGGGGGAGACGCTGCTCTACTATGGCTGCCGCCGCTCCGACGAGGACTACCTGTACCGCGAGGAGCTGGCCGGGTTCCGCCAGGACGGCTCCCTCACCCAGCTCAACGTGGCCGTCTCCCGGGAGCAGCCCCACAAGGTGAGACCTCGGGCCGCCCCTCGGGGGCCGGGGTGCTGGGACTCGGGCCGGGGTGGGGGGCCTCCTCACAGTGGCCCCCCCCCCCGCCCCCAGGTCTACGTGCAGCACTTACTGAAGAGGGACAAGGAACACCTGTGGCAGCTGATCCACGAGGGCGGCGCCCACATCTACGTCTGCGGGTGAGCGAGGGCAGAGCAGGGGGAGGGACGAGGCCCACCCGCCCGCGGGGACCCCCTCGCCCAGCGCCCCCTCCGTCCTGCCCCAGGGACGCTCGGAACATGGCGAGGGATGTGCAGAACACCTTCTACGACATCGTGGCCGACGGGGGGGCCATGGAGCACGCCCAGGCCGTGGACTACATCAAGAAGCTGATGACCAAGGGCCGCTACTCCCTGGACGTGTGGAGCTAGGGGCCGCCCGGCCTGCCTCTGCCCCTCGGGCCGCTGCAGACTCGCTTCCCCATGTAATCACTTCCCTCGCTCCCTTCTGCCAGTGTCCTGGGTAGTTTCTGCGCGGCCTCGCCCCCGGGAGGCAGGCCCAGGGACAGAGACTGGTCCGGGTCCCAGGCGCACACCGGCCCCGGGTCAAGAGTGTGTATTTTGTAAACCCCTCAGGCCTTTGGGGGCTGTACAGAAGGGGCTCTTAGCTGAGCTGGGCCCCAACCCCCTCCACGTTATTTTCAATGACTGTAAATAATTTTAAATGATCTCTGGTCCTTGGAATAAAGTTCTGTTTTCGGTATTTCCTATTGCTTGGGTATATCCGGGGTCTCCCCCTGGGCCTCCTTAACTCAGAGCCCCAAGAGGCCGTGTGGGGGTGGCGCCGAGGCCCGCGCCTGACCCTTTGGAGAGCACACACCTCAAGCCACCTCTCTGCCACTCTTCCTTTATTCAGGCTGCTGGCCCCCGGCTCCCTGCAGGCCCGGAGCTCAGGCCCGGTCCTCTCCAGCGTCGCCTTCGGGGCCCACAGAGCCCACAAAACTCCAGGGAGAGCAGAAGGGACCCTCCCAGATGAGGGAAGCCCCCTACCCTCTCAAAGGGGACAGAAGCCCCTGCCAGGCCAGAGGGGCCATAGAGAGCTGGGTGGCCATGGCGGGCAGGCCCAGACTCATTCTTTCTTGCTCCCTTGTCTTTGACTGTGGAATTTCTGGTGCACAACCCGCAAGGTGGTGAAGAAGTTGCCAAGGAATAGGAGGAGGAAGGGGAAGCCACACATGAGCACCTGGGGGGAGAAGCGGGGTCAGGACTGGGCCGGGCGCTGGCCCTCGCAGTGTCCTTCCTCCTCCCCGGGTCCCCGGGCTCACCTGCCACTCCTTGCACTCAGGGTCCCGGGCCAGGCTGAACAAGGTCAGCGCGTTAAAAAGCTGCCAGAACTGGGGGGGGATGGAGGGTTTCAAACAGAAGCCAGTCTCCTCGAGGGCCCACAGCCAGAACCGGGAGGCCTGGCCAGACACACCGGGGGGCAGAGACAACTTACGTGTCCAAAGAAAAGAAAGGGCAGCAGGAAGGTGAGGCCCCGCCACATCCAGGACTGGAAGCCCTCTGCAGGGAGAAGTGGGGGGGGGGGGGGGGCGGGGGACACGGTCTCTCAGCCCCACATAGTCGGGAAAGGACGGGCCCTTCCCGACCCCCGTTCAGGATTCCCGAGAGAGGAGGCCGTGCCCGGCTCACCCACAGTGAGGTCCATGGTGTGCCTCTCGCCCAAGGCCCGCAGGCGGTATAGACAGCCGCTTTGGTAGTAATACTGCAGGAACTGCACGAAGCCTGGGGGTGGGGGACAGCGGAACTGGGCTGGAGCTCACGGTCCTTGGCACCCCCTCCCCGTGGGGGGGCTCCCGAGCAGAGCAGGGCCCTCTGAGACACTCACTCTGGTACATGGAGAAGGACAAGAACTGGTTCCGGAACTTCTGGTACATGAGGCCGTCAGGCCTAAGGCAGAAAGCAGCGGGAAGGGGAGGGAGCTCAGGGACACCCTCTCTCTCTGCCCCGTGCTCCCCTGCACCCCCCACCCCCCAGGCCCTGGGAGCCAAGTCTGGCCACTCACCATGTCAGCATGACTCCCGACAAGAAGGTGGACACGTAATGATGGAAAACCCACCAGCCCTTGATCCTGTATCGGGAAGCCGCTGTCACTCCTGTCCCCTCGGCCCCGAGGATCGATGCACGGGGACGGGGAGCCAGGCTGCGGTGGGAGGAAGCCAGTACCCCGACCCCGGGCCTGCTCCTCCGGGACCCACGGCCCCCCGCCCCCTGGGTCGCTCCAGTGCCCCAGCCCGCCCCGGGAGCCCACCGGGAGCCGTTGTTGATGAGAATGCTCTCTCGGATGGTCAGCGTGCAGTAGTACCAGACCAGCAGGAAGTTGAAGGCGGCGTCCGTCACCCTGCGGAGGGCACAGAGGATGTGGGTGCCGGCGCCCACACGGAGCGGGGCGCGGCCCCGGGCAGCAGGACACCCACCTGGAGTTGAGGAGGAAGCGGCAGGTGAAGGAGATGAGGATGAGGATGATGGTGAGGTAGAGCTTGAACTTCTCATACTCGTCCTTGTAGGCAAACCTGGGTGGGCACATACTCGTGGCACAGGCTGGGGTGCCGGCAGGGCCCACCCTCGCCTCGGCCCGGAGGGAGGCTCCTGCTCCGGACGTGCTTCCGCAGGCGGCTCGGGGCCGGCACCCCGGGGGGCTGAGCCCGGGAAGCGGGGGCAGAACGGAAAGGACCCGGGAGGGTGGAGAGCAGGGTTGGGACCCAGCCCACGACAGCGAATTACTTAGCCTGCTTGCTCAGGAGGGTCACGTTGACATTGCCCAGAACCAGGCTCAGGTACAACCTAGGGGAGGGGGACACCAGGTAAAGAGAGGCCCCCAGGGAGAGGAAAGCCAGTGGCACAGAGCCGGGGACCCCCCCGCTTCCCACGGCAGCGGCTTAGGGTTCTGACCCGGGGGGTGCTGCACACCAGCTCCACAGGAAGGAAACACTGGGGCGCAGCCTTTCTGCCTGCTCCCGGGTAAACCAACATCCCCTCCCTCGCCTCCCCCCTCCCAGGGTCCCCCCCTTAGGGCCTCCAGGGTATCCCGTGGGAGCCAGGCCCACAGCTCCTATTGTCCCTGTGGGCCTTGGGCAGGACTCAGTGCCTGTGTGCATGCCCACCCCGTCACCTACCCCCCCTCCCCGGGTTCCCGCTACCTCCGAGAACCTTCAGCCCTGAGTCTGCCGCAGCACCCCGCACCATGGCCACACCAGGACCCCCTCCCAGCCAGGAAGGGCTCCCTCAGCTCAGAAACTGCTCGCACTCTGACTCCAAGTGCCCAGCCTCCCAAGCCGGTTTCAACAGGTGGACCCTGGCCCTCACTGAGGCTTCCAGGCCCCCGACCCCAGTCTCCCTTCCCAAGCCAGTTGAGTCCCCAGGCCCCCCTTCCACGACAGCCCCTTTCTTGTCAACCCCACCACCCCCAGCCTCTTGCCGCCGTCACTCCCACCGACGGAGCCTGTCTGGCCCTTCTCTGCCAGACGAACCCCAAGAGGTGACCAAGTCCCACGTGTGCAGACGCAGCACACCCACACACGAGCCCCTGCTCATGCTCGGGCCGTGGGGCACAGGCTCAGAGTGGTTAAGGGACTTGCCCCAGGCCGCGAGACACGCTGGGGTGCAGCGGGCACCTGACTGGGCCGCCTCTCAGCATCGCCACCGGCTCCCTACGCCATCCTGCAGAGGCCCTGTCAAACCCTCCCTCCCGGCTGACATCTCCGGGGGCCCCCCTCACGGGCTCTAAACACCCGCCATCGCAAATGACGAGGGCCCACGCCCCGCCCCGCCCTTCCCACCTCCCCAGTGGTTTCCCTTTGCTGGGTCTGCGCTCCAAGGGCCCGCGCTCTCGGCGGGGACACGTGCTCCAGTCTTCCCTGGGTACCAAGTAACACGGACCCCTGAGCACGAGCCTCCCCCGCCCCCCCGCGCACGAGTTCCACTCGCTGGTCTCGCCTTCTGCTCCCAACCAAGCTTTTGAAGAGCTGCCTACACTCGCCTGTCCCCCCATTAGCCACCCCCACCTCCACCAACCTGCAGAGCGCTCCTCTCCCTGACTCCGGCAGACACCGCCCCTTCCGTACGGCTCCTGACCGCCCCACCACCGGCTGTCTGGTCTGAGGCTATCAGCTGCTCCTTCCCCCACTCGGCCGCCCTCTGGGACATGCTCCTTTCCAGCTGTCTTGCTGCCCCAGGCCTCCGCTGGATGATTTTCACTCACCCTAGGGTTGTGCCCTGGCCCCTGCCATCCCGCTCGGTGACCGTGGCTGGCCTAAGGGTCGCTCTGCCCAGCCTACTGGGCCCGAGGCCAGCTCCGAAGCCTGGCTTCGCCTCTGGTCTCATTCACCACCCCCCACCCTGAGCTCTGGCCACACGCGCCGTTTCCACCCTCCCGTGCCTGCCAGGCTCCCTCCTTGATCCTCTACGCTTTCCCTGACCTCCAAGCTGGGCGAGGAGCCCCTCACTGTGCTCCTCCATTCCCTGTCCTTCCCCCACAAAACACCCAGCTCCGTGAGCTGTCACCATCGCTTGAGCTGTCCCCCCAGCCTGACTGCTCAGCCCACAGTGGGTCCAGGCACCATCTGCTGGCCAAGTGACCAAGCAGAGGAGACCACGCTTCAGGCCACTCTCCCAGGGGCGTCTAGGAACTGAGCTTGGGGGAGGGGGGGTCTCACCCATTCTTCTTGGGCAAATAGGCCTCCATATCGAAGAAGAGGCCCTGGCGCTCCTTGATCTGGTTCTCCAGCTCCTGGGCAGCCTCCTTGGCCCCCGACTGAAGGGAGGGTTTGCATCTGTAGGTGGGCCCACGGAAGCCAGAATCAGAGAAGCCCCCTCCCCCCCCCGCCCCGTATCACACCTGACACCTGCGGGGCAGGAGGCGAACATGGCCCAGCAGGGGGAGAAGCCATGCCCTGGGACACTCAAGGGTGAGTGCCTGCTCTCCCCCCACCCCAGATCTGACCCCCAGCCCTAGGCCAGGGGGTATTGGAGGCTTGGGGGAATCAAGGACGGGGCGGCGGGGGGGGGTCCTAACTTCTTTAGGACAAGAGCCAGCTCCTGGAGCCGCTTCTTCTGCCGCGTGATGGCGCTGGTACAACCGTTCTGCAGCTTGGTCAGCTCCTCCAGCTTCAGGCGGTACAGCCGGTGGGTCTCCTGGGGCAGTGGGCGGGGGACCAGAGTGAGCCGGAGCCTGCTGGGCAGAAGGTGGGGCACGGACTCCCCCCGGGCTCTTTGGGAGGGTCTGAGCAGGAAAGGAGGCAGCCAGCCGAGGGACTCCCTGAGGTTGCCCTCTCCCCCAGGCAGGCCAGGAGATGGGGCTCCCCCTGCAAGCCCAGAAACAGCACCCCTGTCCCAGAAGCAGACTAGGTCCCAGAGACTTTGTTTCATCTCAGCCCACGTACTAGCTGGCCCCGCCCAGATCTGTGCCACCCTGAGTTCGGATTCCAGGCACAAGGGTCTACCTTCTGGACCAGTCAGGTGCCTTCAGGCAGCCACTCTGCTTCTCTGCGATCCTCCTGCCTACCCAGGCTGCTAGTGCAGAGGGAGCTGGGGTTGTCCAAGCAGCCTGCCGCTCTGGCCCTCCCAGCATCTGCCTCCCAGGTTAAAGGTCATCAGGCTTCAGCCCTTAGAATTCCTGCCTTTAAGACCAGTCCTTTTACCCCTCCCCCAGCACCTTTGGCCCAAAGCCTCCCAGAGCACTTTGCCCTGGTGGGTGAGTTTCCAGAAAAGCAGCCTGGAGACAACAAAGGGCAGTATGAAGAAGGTCAGGAAGGGGTGGCCAGGCTGGGAAAGTAGGTCTGCCCTGCTCAGGACTGGCAGGGGCACGAGTGGCGGCAGCGTTAGCCTGGCCAGGGAGCGGCAAGGCTTCAGTGCAGACAGGAAGGGGCTGGAACCAGTCCAGGAGAGACAAAGGCATGACCGAATACACAGCTAGCCCAGGCTCTACCCTTTCCAGGTCTTGTTTCTCGTGCCTTAGAGGGGCCACCACACCCCTTCAAAACCCAACATGAGCCACATCTGTCTACCCCTACCAACCACTTTCTCCTGGTGGAGACCAGCAGCCTTCTCCCCTGCTGGCCTCCCCACAGAACGGCACAATGGTCCACACAAGCCAGATCCCCACGATTCCTCCCATGGCTCGCCAGTGGTATCAGAAAGGTTCCAAGCCCGTCGGGCCCATGAGGTCCCTGCAGGGTCTGGCCCACCCACTTCTCCCCTCCCTCTCCTTCCAGCAGCCACATAACCCTGCCTTCGTGGGCGCTGTCCTTCAGCCTGGACGGGGCCCCGCCCCCATCCCGGCACTTCACCTAACCACCACTTCCCCTGGCTGGGCCGGGCCGGGCCGGGCCGCTCCCCTCGCCGCACTCAGCCCAGACCCCCTGCGCTGCCCTAGAGCCACGCCGGCGCCCACAGCATGTTTGCTGAGTGACTGACCCAAGGTTGGGCCCGGCCGGCTTTGACTCGGGACCACTCTCCTGGGAGAGGACGGGGTAGGGGTCGGGGCCTGAAGGAGGCCCCCCCCCGCAGAAGGCCCCAGGTCCGCCAGACTCAGTGGGTTTCCGCCAGGGTCGCAGCGGCCGCGCGGGCGATGGGGGCTGCCGCCGGACACTCATTTGAGGCCGAGGGGAGGGTCCAGCCAGGACCACCAGGACCCGGGGCCTCGCCACCCTCCGGAGCGACGCCGGGGTCCCCGACCCTTGACCCGGAACCCCCCACTGCTGACCCACGGCTGCCCGACCCTTGACCTCGAGCCAGAGAGACGTGGCTCAGGGTCAATGGGCGCCCGCACTGGCACTCACCTGGATGCTCTGGAAGTCCTGCTGCAGCTCCTCCCAGTCTCGCAGGCAGTCCCCCAGCGGGCCCGGGACCGGGGGATGCATGGCTGCCGGGGCCACGCGCCGGACAAGCCGAGTCAAGGACCGCGCCGCAAACCCGGCCAGCCCGAGGGGCCTCCACCGCCTCCGCCACCGCCCCCGCCCCCGTCCGCTTCCGGGCTCGCGCCGCCGCCACTACCAACGGGAAAAGGCCTGGAACGGCGAGCGCGCTAGCCCCGCCCTCCGCCCGAGCCAATCCGGGCCCGGGGCGGGGCCGGGGCGGGGCCGGGGCGGGGCCAAGCGCAGCAAGGGCGCTCTCCCCGGCACGCTCCGCGGGCCTGGGGCTGGCGCGGCGGTGGTTGCCGGCTCGGGGCTCGGCGGGTCGTGCCGACCGCGTGGCGTGGCCCACAGAGCTCTGGCCCGTCATGCTGGTAGTAAACCGAGGCCCACGGAGGTGACCCTTGCCTCGAACACTCTCGTCCTTGGGAAAGCTGCGCCTCTGCCCGGAGAGGATTCTGAGCCTCTTTTCTCGGCTGGATTTTTACAGCGGCCACCTTCCTACTGTCTCCCTGCCTCCAGGCTCACCGCTACTGTTCTTTCAGAGCCACCAGCCTGCGGTCCTAACGCACCAGCCTAATCCCCACCATGTCCCTGACGGAAACTTACCAGTGGCTCTGCCCTTCCCACCAGGTCCCTAACCCACAGAGCCATCGCTTGCAGCCTTCCCAATCTCTGTTCCAGCTCCTATCCTAACTGATCCCAAGCCTGCGCTGACCGGAAAGCCCTTATCCGTAGAGCAAAACCCCACTCCTTGAGGGCCTGAGCTTCCTTTGGGAGGAGGGGGAATCCACCTTCCTGCAGAGAGTCCTGGGAGGTGAGATGGCTTTCACCTCTCTGTCCCTCCCTGGCTGCACACAGGTGGCAGGGAGTGTCTGCTGAATGACATGGACATCCCAAATTCCCTGTCCATCTTCTGCCCTCTCCTGACTGGTGCTGTGGGTACAGCCAGCACTAGGAAGTACATTCTGAAGAAAATTCCCTTTAAGACCTGAGGAATTTCTAGAAACATGGGTGTAGTAGATAGGAGGGGTGGAAATCTGTCTTTGGGGAACCCAGCCAGGAGGAATGGGGAGCAAGGAAAGGAAATCTGAACAAGTCATCAACGGGCAGAGTGGTGGGAGTGCTGGGACCCGGGATGAGACAGGGTGTACTTGTGCCTGGAGCCTGGCATCTGGGCCAACGCTGGGCCTGGCAGATCTCCACCCATGGGGGCACTGTGACACCCTGTGGACCAACACAAGGCAGGGGGAACCCTTGGAGCTCCTCCAAGCCAGCCTCCAAAGGGTCCAGGTCATTGGGGGCATGTGAGATAGCTGCTCAGGAGCCAGATGCTCTTCCAGAGGCAGCCTCAGAAGAGCAGTGGGGGTGGGCCAGGAAAACCCAGGGATGGGGGCTCTCGCTGAGTCTGAGCAGAGTACGCCTGCTCTGGGGCGTGAACGAGGAGCCTGAGAAGAACCACTGCAAGAGGCCGACACAAGACTGCAGGCAGCAAAGGCCTTCTCTTTCCACACCAACCTGGTTACACAGCCTGGCCCACTACCCACAAGAGGTCCCCAAGCGAAGTTCTTCAGGACCCACAGCTGGACCACAGAGAAGATCAGTAGAGTGGATCCCAGATGTCTGTGACAGAGTCTCCGAGGATGACCTTCTCCCACTCCGACAGCTGAGCCACCAAGCCCCGATTGGGATGCACGTTGTTTTTGCACTTCTTGACAAAGGCCCAGGACTTCTGTCAATGCAAGGAGAGAAAGCAGACTTCAGGGTTGGACCGGGGCCAGCTCAGGAGGGACAGGAGGCACCTGCCCATGGGCCAGCAACATGGCTTACTGGCTAGACATAGAAACAGCAGCAGCCCAAGGTTCATACATCAGGGCAAGGAGTCATAGGAACTGGCTCTGTTCTGAGCAAGCTCCTCTGCTGCTAGATATGGAGACAGAGATCATTCTTTCAGATGGCCCCTGTGAAGGTTCAGACAACATGGGTGAAAACTCCTGTGGGCAGGAGAGCACCATGCCCATGCCTGTCACACAATGCAACCTCAACAAAGGTTTGCGTTGTGAACAGAAAAATTCATGGAAAGGGGAAGAGAACTATGGGGGAAATTCTCCAAAGGGAAACTGAAGCCACTTTCTTTCAGGTGTCCACCTTAAAACGCAGGCGGGAAAAGGACAAGCTGGTCTCCATCTGGATGGAGGACAGAGGAAAAAGGAAAAGGCCAAACTAGGAAGAGAAGAAATGCATCCCAACCTAATAAAGACCATATATGACAAGCCCACGAATAACATCATACTCAGTGGTGAAAGACTGAAAGCTTTTCCTCTAAGATCAGGAACAAGAGAAGGATGCTAACTTTCATCACTTCTATTCAACATTGTACTAGAAGTCCTAACCAGAACAGAAAAGGGAGGGAGGGAGGGAAGGAGGGAGGAGGGAGGAGGGAAGGAGGAAGGAGGAAGGAAAGGAAAGGAAAAGGAAAGGAGGGAAAAGAAAGAGGCATCCAAACTGGAGAAGTAAAATTACCTCTGTTTGCAGATGACATGGTTTCATGTGTAGAAAACCTTAAAGATTATACCAAAAAATATCTGTCAGAATAAATGAATTTAGCAATGTTGCCACATTACAAAATCAACACTCAAAATCAGTTGCATATCTATACACTAACGATGAACAATCTGAAAAGTAAATTAAGAACACAATTCCATTTACAATAGCATCAATACTTAGGAATAAACTTAACCAAGGAGGTAAAAGACCTGTACTCTGAAAATTATGAAACATGGCTGAAAGAAACTTAAAAAGACACAAATAAATGGAAAGACAACCTATGCACATGGATAGGAAGACTTAATACTGTTAGGATGTCAGTACTACTCAAAGTATCTATAGATTTAATGCAATCTTTACCAAATCCCAACAGCATTTCTTGCAGAAATTGAAAAACCAATCCTAAAATTCATACGGAATCTCAAGGGACCCCCAAATAGACAAAACAATCTTGAAAAAAGAGAACAGCACTGGAATTCTCATACTTCCTGATTTCAAATCTCTGAAGTTATTATAAAACTACAGTGATCAAAAAGTGTGGTATTGGCATAAAGACAGACATTCAGGAGAGACAGCCCAGAAATAAGCCCTTGCATATATGGCCAAATGGCTTCAACAAGAGTGTCAAAAACCATTCAAAGGAGAAAGGACAGTCTTTTCAACAAATGGTGCTGGGAAAACTGGATATCCATATGCAAAAGAGTCAAGCTGGACCCCTACCTCACACCATGTACAAAATAAACTCAAAATGATTGAAAACCTGAATGTGAGAGCTTAAACTATAAAAATCCTAGATGAAAACATAGGAGAAATGCTTCATAACACTGGATTTGGCAATGATTTCTCTGATAAGACACCAAAAGCACAGGTGATTAAAAAATGGACAAATTGGACTACGTCAAAATAACAAACTTCTATGCATCAAAAGACACGATCAACAGAGTGAAAAGGCAGCCACAGAATGGGAGGAAACATTCCAAAAATCATATATCTGATTTATATCCAGGTGTTAATATGAAGAATATAGAAAGAGCTCCTAAAACTCAACAATAATAACAACAAAAACCCAAACAACCCAATTAAAAAACAGGCAAAGAACTTGAATAGACATTTCTCCAAAGGATAAATGAATGATCAATAAGCACATGAAAAGATTTGCTCAACATCACTAATCATTAGGGAAATGCAAATCAAAACTACAATGAGATACCACCTCACACCCATTAAGATAATATTTTAAAAAAAAACAAAACAGAACACAACAAGCATTGGCAAGGATGTAGAGAAACTTGAACCCTTCTGCACTGTTGGTGGGAATGTAAAATGGTGCAGCCTCTATGGAAAAACAGTATGGAGATTCCTCAAAAAATTAAAAATAGAGATACCGTATAATCCAGCAATTCCACTTCTGGGTATCTACCCAAAAGAACTGAAAGCAGGCTCTTGAAGAGATATTTATACACCCATATTTGTAGCAGCATTATTCACAATACCTAAAACATGGAGGCAACCCAAGTGTCCATCAATGGATGAATAGAAAAACAAAATGTGCCATACATACACAATGGAATATTATTCTATCTTTAAAAAGAAGGAAATTCTGACACACGAGACAACATAGATTTACCTTGGGGACGTTATGAGAAGTGAAATAAACCAGGCAACAAAAAGACAAATACTGTGTGATCCACTGATATGAGGTACCTAGAGTAGTTGAGATCATAGAGACAGGGAGTAGAATAGTGGCTGCACGGCCTGAGGGAGGCAAGAACAGGGAGTTAGTGTTTAATAGGTATAGAGTTTCAGTTTTACAAGATGAAAAGTTATGGGGATGGATAATGGTGAAGGCTGTACAACACTAGAAAGTACTTAATACCACTGAACTGTACACTTTAAAAAAATGGTTAAGGGGTGCCTGGGTGGCTCAGTCGGTTAAATGTCCAACTCTTGGTTTTGGCTCGGGTCATGATCTCAGGGTCATGAGATCAAGCTCCATGTCGGGCTCCACGTTCAGTGTGGAGTCTGCTTGAGATTCTCCCTCTCCTCTTCTCCCTCTCCCACTCCCCCTGCTTGTGTTCCCTCTCTCGCTGTGTCTCTCTCTGTCAAATAAAATCTTAAAAAAAAAAAAAAAAGAAAGAAAGAAAAAGAAAAAGAAAGCCCTAAAGTCTCCATCAAAAAAGCATTAGGACTAATGAACAAATTCAGTAAAGTTACAGGATACAAAATCAATATACAAAAATGAGGTGTGCAATAATAATGAACTATCAGAAAGAGAAATTAAGAAAACAATCCCATTTACAACTGCAACAAAAAGAATAAAATATCTAGGCATAAATTTAACCAAGGAGGTGGAAAACTGTACACTGAAAATTATAAGACATTGATAAAAGAAACTGAAGAAGACACAAATAAATAGAAAGATATTCTGTGCTCATGGATTAGAAGCATCAATATTGTTAAAATGTCCATACTACCCAAAGCAATCTACAGATTCAATACAATCCCTATCAAAATTCCAATGGAATTTTTCACAGAAATAGAACAATCTTAAAATGTGTATGGAACCATACAAGACCCTCAAATACCTAAAGCAATCTTTAGAAAGAAGAACAAAGATGGAGGCATCACATCCAGATTTTGAACTATATTACAAAGCTATAGTAATCAAGGCAATATGGTATTGGCATAAAAATATACATATAGATCGATGGAACAAAATGGTCTAGAAATAAACCCACACATATATTTTCAATTAATTTATGACAAAGGAGATGAGAATATACAATGGGTAAAGGTCAGTCTCTTCAATAAATGGCATTGGGAAAGATGGACAGTCACATGCAAAATAGTGAAACTGGACCATGTCTTACTCCATACATAAATATACTCAAAATAAATTAAAGATTTGAATGTAAGACCTGAAACCATAATGCTCAGAAGAAAACATATCCAGTAAGCTCCCTGTTATAAGTCTTGGTGATGATATTTTGGATTTGATACCAAAAGCAAAGGTAACAAGAACAAAAATAAACAAGTGGGACGACATCACACTAAAAAGCTTTTGCACAATGAAGGAAACCATCAACAAAATGAAAAGTCAACCTATGGAATGGGAGAAAACATCTGTAAATCATATATCTAATAAGGGGTTAATACCCAAAAAATATAAAGAACTTTTGCAACTCAATAGAAAAAAAAAATCTTATTTTAAAAAGAGCAAAAGATCTGAATAGACATTTTCCCAAAGAAGACATACAGATGGTCAACAGGTACTTGAGAAGGTGCTCAACATTACTTATCATCAGGGAAATGCAAATCAAAATCACTAATGAGCTATCACCTCACACCTGTTAGAATGGCTGTTACCAAAAAGATAAGAAATAACAAGTTCTGACAAGGATGAGAAGAGGGAACCCTATGCACTGCTGATAGAAATGTAAATTGGTACAGCCACTAGGAAACTGTATGGAGGTTCATCAAAAAAGAAAGAACAGAACTACCATATGATCCAACAATTCCACTTCCGGGTATTTATCCAAAGAAAACAAAAATACTAACCCAAAAAGATATCTGTACCCCATGTTCACTGCAGCATTATTTACAATAGCCAAAACATGGAAACAACCTACATGGCCTTTGATGGATGAACGGGTAAAGAAGATGTGGAATGAAAAAAAAAAAAAAAAAAGATGTGGAATGGAATGGAACACACAATGGAATATTATTCAACCATTGAAAAGGAGGAAATCCTGCCATTTGTGACAACATGGATGGACCCTGAAGGCATTATGCTAAGTGAAATAAGTCAGAGAAAGACATATCATATGATCACACTTATAAGAGAGCCTTACTTATGGAGCCTAAAAAACAAACAAACTTAACTCAGACACAGAGACTAGAGTGATGGTTGCCAGAGGTAGGGGCCAGGGCTGGGCAAAATGGGTCAAAGTGGTCAAAAGGTACAAACTTCCAGTTACAAAATAAATAAGTCCTATGGATATATACAGTATTGTGACTATAGTTAATATTGTATTGTTTATTTTATTTTTTAAAGGTTTTTATTTTTATTTATTTGACACAGAGAGAGAGCACAAGCACAAGCAGGGGGAGGGGCAGAAGGAGAAACAGGGTCCCCACTGAGCAGGGAGCCCGATGCAGGGCTCGATCCCAGGATCATGACCTGAGCCGAAGGCAGATGCTTAACCAACTGAGCCACCCAGGCGTCCCTGTATTGTTTATTTTGAAGTTGCTAAGAGAGTAGACCTTAAAAGTTCTCATCACAAGAAGAAAATTTTTTAACTATATGTGGTGATGGATGTTAATCATTTTATAGTGATCATTGAATAATTATTGTATACCTATAATATAATGTTACATGTCAATTATATCTTAATAAAAAGCAGAAAAAAAAATAATTGAAAGCAAGATCTCAAAGAGATATTCATACACCCATGTCCACAGCAGCATTATTCACAAAATAGACAAAAAGTGGAACCCAAGTGCCCATCAACAGATGAAGGGATAAATAAAATGTGTATATAAACAGATACACACACACACACTGGTATGTACCTAACAGAGCATCAATATATGTGAGGCAAAAACTGATAGAACTGCAAGGAGAAATAGATGAATCTGGTGTCACAGAAACTTCGTCACCTCTCTATCAGTAATGGACAGATAGAACAGGCAGAAAATCAGGATGACCATAGTTGAACCCAACAGCACCATTAATTAACTCAATATAACTGACATCTATAGAAATATTCCATCAAACAACGGAACACACATTCTTCTCACGCTCAAATGGAACATTCACCAAGATGAATGTTCATCTAAAATCAATCATCTAAGCTTCCCTCTTGGGAAATGAAAAACAGAAGAGTAAATTAAGCCCAAGATAAGTTGAAAAAAAGAAATAATAAAAATTAAAGCAGGGGTCCCTGGGTGGCTCAGTCAGTTGAACTTCCGACTCTTGGTTTCGACTCAGGTCATGATCTCAGGGTCATGGGATTGAGCCTCGTATTGGGCTCTGTGCTCAGTGGGGAGTCTGCTTGAGATTCTCTCTCTCCCTCTGCTCCTCCCCCCCCACTCTCTCTCTCTCTCAAAAATAAATAAAATCCTTAAAAAATTAAAGCAGATATCAATGACATTGAAAACAGAAAATCAACAGGAAAAAAATCAGTGAAACCAAAAGCTGGTTCTTTGAAAAAAAAATCTGCAAAATTGATAAGCCTCTAGCCAGGCTACTAAGAAAAGGAGAGAAGATACAAATTATTAATATCAGAAATGAAAAATGAGACATCAGTACAGAGCCCATGGACATTAAAAGGATAATAAAGGAATACTATGAACAACTCCATGTCCACATAGAATCTAGGTGAAATAGACCAATTCCTTGCAAGACACAATCTGCCAAAACTCACACAAAATCACACAATCTGAATAGGCCTATATCTATTAAAGAAATTGAATCAGGGGCACCTGGGTGGCTCAGTTGTTAAGCATCTGCTTTCGCCTCAGGTCATGATCTTGGGGTCCTGGGATCAAGCCCCGCGTCAGGCTCCCTGCTCGGTGGGAAGCCTGCTTCTCCCTCTCCCACTCCCCCTGCTTGTGTTCCTGCTCTCGCTCTGTGTCACATAAATAAAATAAAGAAATTGAATCAATAAATAAAAAAAAATTATCTTCCAAAAGAGAAAGCACCAGGCCGAGATGGACTCACTGGTGAATACTACATACAACAGAATACGATTCAGCCTTAAAAAGCAAGGAAATTTGGGGCACCTGGGTGGCTCAGTCATTAAGCATCTGCCTTCGGCTCAGGTCATGATCCCAGTATCCTGGGATTGAGCCCTCCATCGGGCTCCCTGCTCAGCAGGAAGCCTGCTTCTCCCTCTCCCACTCCCTCTGCTGTGTTCCCTCTCTCGCTGTGTCTCTGTCAAATTAAAAAAAAAAATCTTAAAAAAAAAAAAGCAAGGAAATTTGAACACGTGCTATAACATGAATGAACCTTAAGGGTATTATGCTAAGTGAAATAAGCCAGTCACAAAAGGACAAATACTGTATGATTTCATTTATGTGAGGTACCTAGAATAGTCAAATTTATAGATACAGAAAGTAGCATGGTAGTTGCCAGGGGCTGGGAAAAGAGGGGAATGGGGAGACGCTATTTAATGGATACAGAGTTTCAGTTTTGCAAGATGAAAAGAATTCTGGAGATTGGTTGCACAACAATGTGATTGTATTTAACACTGCTGAATTGTGTGTAATTAAAAATGACAGAGATGGTAAATTTTGTGTTATGTGCATTTTGCCATTATGAAAAAAAAAAAAAAAATCCGTGGTACCCTGGGCAGAGCTATGTAGTTGTAAGGTTTACTAAGTCCTGGTCAGGTCAGATTGGGCCCTTGAGGGCAAACCATAACCATAGCCCCCCATGCTCACTGCTCACAACCCCTTTCCAGCCCACAAAGCATCTCCTGGGACTCACAGCAAACATCAGCGGGTTAGAAGGGGGAAGGGTCATGGCCAGGTAACTCTTGGTAAGGGGAAGCAGCTAGCCCACAGCCCCATTCTTCAGACTCAAGGCCTGTGCTCTCCCTGCTGCCTTAGGGCCCTGTGGAAAGCCCGGATTCCAAAACTGGGTCATGTGGCTTTGGATTCCAACTCTGCCACTTACAGCTATGGGGCCTTGGACAAATTACTCAGCCTCTATAAACCTCCTGCAAAACGGGGTTAATAACATGCTGCAGGCTCACTGTGTTTTCATCACACATAAAGTATTCACAAAGGCGTGTGGGAAGCATTCTGCCAATGGTAGCTATTACAATACCTCAGGAGTTGGTTTGAGGTTTTGTTCTTTTTTTTTCCTCTGAAGATTTTTTTTTTTTTTAAAGATGTCATTTATTTACTTGACAGAGAGAGACACAGCGAGAGAGGGAACACAAGCAGGGGCAAAGTTACTCCCAGTAGTTTAAAGGAACTGAAATAGGTTTCTTAAGGGCTCGCTGGCTCTGGGAGCCCATACAACCTTGCACCAAAGCTTTGAAAGCCAAGGGCAGGCAGGGTGGCCCCGGGTGCCAGATTCTTCCCAGTTCACTCCTCAACTTCCCACTCCTGGTCTTGGTACCCCCAAGGAACTGAGTTGGGACCATAAGCCCCAGGAAGCAGTCTATTGCCCAAGAGTGGCCCACACCCCTTTTTTTGCCAGTCCCATGGGCTCCGACCATCACCGCTAACAACAACCAGGAGCACAGCTGCCCCAATGCGCAGAGGAGGACCCCAGGACCACACAATGGGAGAAGGGAATGTCTCTCTGGACCTCAGGCAGCAGCAGAACTGAGCCCAGGTCAACCTCTATCAGCAATCCAGGGCATTGCTTGGTAGCAAGAAAACCTAACAACCACACAGGACTGACTCAGTCTGGAAAGGACCTAGCAAGGTCCCAGTGGCAGTCCTTCCTGCCCACAGCTGCTTTTGCCGAGACTTATCTAGATGGCATCTCAGGACACAATGCCCAGCAACGGGACTTCCTTGTACATGAGACAGAGATTGCTGCCCCAGGATGGGAGCCCCAGGGCTTCTGCCGAGAGCAAGGACAATCTGGCCCTCAGGGGTCCAAGCACCTGTCCACCCACTGACCACTGACAGGGACAGCTACACCCAGACAGGCCTCACCCTCCCTGCTGGAGTCATGCAGGGGCCAGTAAAGGTCAGGGTGTGGGCCTACATGTGCCCCGTCGCCGAGGGGGCCTGGCCCTCACTGCTGGAGAACTCAGGGGAGCCAGGTGGGAGTCCTCTCTCTGTTCTCCCCCCAGCCAGCTCGGGAAGCAGCCTGTCATCTGCCTGTAATATGAACAAAGAGACGACTGTGACTTGCTGGTCAGGGCTGGGAAGCATCACAAAACATCAGAGTCACAAGGCTGTCAACCTTTTTGTGCCCAAACCTCACTGTGAGCGATCAGGAAGCCAGAACCACCACAGGCCAGGTCTCCAAATGGCCCAATTCAAGCTCCAGGGGAGCTCGAGTCCTGGAACGCCCCCTGCAAGCAGAGAGCTCTGCCTGCCTTCCCCCAGCTCCCCGTCTTCTCTTCCTTGATGTTCCAGCTCAACAAGGCAGCGAAGCAGAGGTTCCTTGCAGGCCTGAGCCCGTTCCTGGGGAGGTGGCTGGAGAGACATCTCTATAGGAGCAACGGCACAGGCCTCCCTCCCCAGATTTATGAGAAACTTCCCCCCCTTCCCCCCCCAGCACACCCCAAAATACTCAAGCAGGCAAGGATCCCTGACAATTCACCTTGCACAGGGTGAGAAAACAGGGGTCTGGGCCTCTCGCTCCAGGCCCCGTGATTCTGCCTCCAGACGCTTTTCTTTTTCAATCGTAGTAAAGCAGACGTAACAGAGAACTTCCCATTTTCACCATGTTTGGGGGTCCGGTTCAATGGCAAGAAGTACATTCACCATGTTGTGCGACCGTCACCACCGTCCATCTCCAGAACTTTCACATACATGAAACAACTCCCCATTCCCGCAGCATAATGTCCTCCGGTTCATCCATGTGGCAGCAGGTGTCAAAATGTCCTTCCTTGGCGAGGCTGAGAAATAGTCCATTGTGTGGACAGACCATTTGTTTACTATCCTTTCGTCTGTTGACGGACAGATGGGTTACTCCCACCTGTTGGCTACGGTGAGTAATGCTGCTCTGAACATGGCCCCACAAACATCTGAGCCCTGGCTTCCACTCCTACAGGTGGAACTGCTGGCTGCCCGAGACTCTTTCTAGCTGGCAATTTCACCCCCAAAGAGCACGTGGGGCCAACATCCCAAACCGCTGGCAATGGGCTCTGACCATGGTCATTTTCTGACCCTCCCCTTCCTTCAAGCACAGCCCTGGGCGTACGTGGGAGCTTTTCGGGTCCCACCGAAGCCCTCTGAAGTCATGCAAAAGCTGTGCCTCCCCTCGGGGCAGGCCGCCATCTCCTCATGCCGTGGGAAGGCACTGCCCTCAGCGTCACAAGCGCTGGTTCCACGGAGTTTGTGGTGACCGGTCTCCGCCCCCTTCTCCAGTCCGGGTCAAGACTGTTGGAGTAGGTGCCCTTGGAGCCCTGCCAGGGTCGTAGTTCTCTGGCTCCAAGCAATAACCAAAATGCACCTCCCTGGAGAAGCCTCAATGAACGCTGGTAGACAGACTGATTGCAGTGGGGGACACGTGGATGGTGCTGCTAGCCGTGGCCTTGCCCAGCCTGAGTCCCTGGGCCTGTCCCATAGCCTCTGACCCAGATCTTTGGGACCTCGCCCTTGGGTGTGGTATGCTGGGTAAAGCACTGGACTTGGGAGTTCCCTTTCCAGATCCTTCTCCTCCCACCCCCCAATTAGGGCCCCCTTCCTCCCAGGTCCAGCTCTGACCCTGCCTGCTGGAGGCAGCTGCAGTCTGAGCCTTGACCGGGCAATGCATACCTTCAAGGTCTGCTCCTTCCAATGCATGAGGAAGGCCAAGGTGGCCGCACAGCTGCGACTGATGCCCAGGGTGGAAAAGACCAGGATGACCGAGCCAAGCCGGAGGTGAACTTCTGCAAGAGGAAGGAAAGGTGTGTGGGGAGGGGGGCAGGGAGGCAGTGGGGCTCATGGATGTGTGTTGCTGGCTTCAGTGGGCCCACGGTCCAGGAGTGAGTTCGGACCCAGCCCACATGTCCTGGGCTAATCCCGTGACCTCTCTAGGACACCGTTTTGTCACCTGGCAAACGGGGACCCTCAGACCTCACTGGCAGTCCAAGAGAATCACACTGGGTGTTCGGCATTACCCTGCAAAGGCCTTTTTTTGGCTCCCCAGGCTTCCAGCCCAGGAAGCTCTGCTACCAGTTGGCCTCCCTGGGTGGGACAAGAGGATGCTCCCCCCACCCGACTCCCCCCCACCCCCAGGCACTTGGATGCCGACAGAGGTGGGAGGAAATCTAAGTTGGCTTCCTAGGCCAGTCCCCCCAAGAACTGGAGATAAACGTATCAGGGCACCTGGGTGGCTCAGTTGGTTGGGTGTCTGCCTTCGGCTTGGGTCATGGTCCCGGGGTCCTGGGATCGAGACCCACATTGGGCTCAGAGCCTGCTTCTCCCTTGTCCTTCCCCATGCCCCCAACTTGTGCACTCTCTCGCTCTTGCTCTCAAAAATAAATAAAATCTTAAAAAAAAAAAAAAAAAAAAAGAACTGGAGATAAACATATCAAAAGCGAAATCACAGACTGTCAGCACTGGAGGAGGACCCCGAGATGATGAAGGCCAAGTGCCTCATCGTATGGACAAGGAAACAGAGGTACAGAGCAGTTAAGGACTGGCCCAGAGCCACCCAGCAAGGTAGGGCTGGAGAGGGGCCCTCTGTGCCACAGGGCTCTGCCATCCCGTGGCCAGACACGTGGCAAGTCGCAATCTCAGATACTAGTCAAGTGATAGTTGCAACCTCTTGGGCAAATAAGGGATGTTTGGGCCAACACATCATCTTCCAGCCTCCCGTGCGGCCCCTCGAGCTGGGGCTGCATTGGTGCGGACCCGACTCGACCTCACTCTCTCCAGCCCATCTTGCTCTCCTTGGGGAATCCTGGCCCCAGAATGACTGAAAATTCCACCTTCAATGAGCAGTCACTGCCATGTGTGGTGGGAGAGCCGAAGGGGTGCTGTGCACACACCAGGGATCATGGAAGTCAGGGCTGGGAGGGTTCCAGAGTTTTCCTTCCACCCCACCCCGCAGACCAGACAGGAGGGAAGAGATGGAGCACGATTCGCCTGTGGGTCCCCAGAGCCCAGCCCAGAGCAGGCCTCCCTGAACGCCTGCACTCACGGTGGGTCAACACGCCCATTGCCCAAGAGGCTCAGCGAGGCCAGGACTGGGGCTTGGCCAGCCCCCAGAGGTCCTAGTGGTTCAGCCAGGGCCACAACATGGGGCACTCAATCGACAATCTGGTGCTCTTATTTGGCCCCATGTCCCCCGAGGTAAATGTGTGGCTGTCCACATGGCCGAGGGCTCCTGAGGGCTGAGCTTGTCCTGGGGCTTGGGCTGGGCCCTGCCCTTCCTCTCCTCAGTGCTGGCTGTCCTGATCAGGAACAGCCGTGTGGACAAGGTACCACAGCCCCTCTGGCCCCTGGGCACAGGCCAACCGCTCCTTACCAAGGAAGTGACAGAGGTGCCGTAAAAAGGGGAAAATGTTGGCTTCCGGGGAATCTTCAATCTTGATGTGCAGAAGTTTGTTACTGTCATCTACAAAACTAAACAGAAGGAAAGCCCAGGAAATCAGGCAGACTGGCACACAGCCCCCCTGGAATGAGCCTCGTGCACAGCAGCGGGACCACATTGCAGGGATGCTGAGCGGGCTTCAGGGAGAGGTGGCAAATAACTGAGCCTGTCTCAGAAAACAAGCACCTGCTTCATGGGGGGGTTGTGCAGATTAAGTCAGTTCATCTATGGAAAGCATTTGGCAATCTGCTTGGCACATAGTAAATGCTCAATAAATGTGACATCATTATCATTAACCACTCATGGTCCTTTGCTAGAGTATGGTGCGAAAAGTCAGATGAGGATGGGCAGGAATATGTAATGAGCTTGGAGAATGAGCCTGCTATGTTAAATGGAGAAAGCCAGGTAAGAGATATGGAGAGTGGAGCAGGGGGGTGGGGGTAGGGGCTGTTTGAGACACAGTGGTCAGGGAAGGCTTTGAGCAGAGGCTTAAAGGAGGTAATGGAACAAGCCAGGCAGCCATCTGAGGAAAGAGGGTTCTGGGTAAGGGAGAACACAAGTGCAAAGGTGCTGAGAGGCAGTATGTTTAATGGACTTGAGAAACAACAGAGAGGTAAGAGTGGCTAGAACATCCGGAACAAGGCAGAGAGAGGACAGAGAGGAGGTAGAGGATGCCTGCAAGGGGCTTGCAGAACATATGGCACGTATTAAGTACTTGGGCAATGTTAATTACGAAGACTGTGGTCTACTGATGACATTAGGCAGCATGTAGACCACTGTAGCATGCAGAAAAAGCTGCAGTAGATTCAGAAATAAAAAGAGGCTGGTTTAGTTTCAGCAGACCCAAGCACAATGCACATCCATCCATCTGTCCATCCATCCTTTCTTCCCCATCTCTCTCTCTCTCTCTCTCTCCCTCCCTCCCCCATCTATCCATCCATCCAGCTATTCATTCTTTCCTCAATGCCTACTGTGTGTGAGACCTTGGGCTGGACTCTAGTGGCCAGAAGCTGAACCAAAGAGGGCCGGCCTCTCCCAGCTTCAAGGAGCTCCCAGTCTGATGGGGGAGGCAGACACAGAAACAAATAGCCCCAATCCAACTGGCTAGACTTGGGGATAAAGACCTGCATGTGATACTGAAGAGGAAGGGCAGGGAGAAGTTGAGGGAGCTGGGAAAAGCTTCACAATGTAGGAGGCATCTAGCTGGAGAAGGTGGAAGGAGACAAGGTTACTATATAAAAATCAACTGCATTTCTATACACTAGCAACAAACAATCAGAAAGTGAAAATTTGAAAATACCATTTATAACCACCTCAAAAATACCAAATACTTGGGAAGAAATCTGACACAAAGTGTGCAAGACCTGTACACGGGAAACTATAAAACATTTTTTAGAGAAATGAAAGAGCAAAGTAAATGGAGGGATAGACCCTGTTCATGATCAGGAGACTCAACATTGGTAAGATATCAGTTCTCCCCAAATTGGCCTATGGATTCAATTCTATCCCAGTCAAAATTCCGGCAGGCTTTTTGTAGAGACCTACAAGCTGATTCCAAAATTTATTGCAAATGCAAAGGAGACAACTTTGAAAAAGAACAAAAGGAGAGGACTGGCTCTACCTGACTTCACAATTTATTATAAAGCTATAGTAGTCAAGAATGCAGAATGGATATAAAGAAAAACACAGACCAATAAAAAAGAATTAGGAATCCAGTTATAATACCACACACATATGGTCAACTGATTTCCAACAAAGGTATCTAAACAATCAAAGGGAAAGCATCTTTTTTTTTTCCCCCAATAATGGCTTCCATATGCAAAACAATGAACTTTGTTATACATCTGGCACCATATGCAAGGATTATTTCAAAATGCATCACAAATTCTTTAAGTTGAAACCATAAAACTTTTAGCAGAAAACACAGGAGAAAATCTTTGTCAAAATTCAAGCGTCTACATAGGCATGGGTCTGCTCCATTGGTGTATTCTTCTATCTTGTACCAATATCACAATGCCTTTCTTGTTGTTTTTTAAGACTTGGTATCTGGTCAAGCAAGTTTCCTATTTGTTGTTCTTTGATATTCAGCTATTTTTGGCCTTTGCATTTCCATATAAACTTTAGAATTACTCTAAAACCTATTGGAATTTTATGGGCATTACATTGAATCTATAGATCAACTGGACAAGAACCAAGATCTTTACAAAACGGATGCTTCTAATCCATAACCACAGTACATCCTCTGTTTATTCAGGTAATTTAAAATAACATCTTCTGTGGAGTGCCTGGCTGGCTCAGTCAGTAGAGCATGTGACTCTTGATCTCGGGGTTGTGAGTTCAAGCCCCACACTGGGTACAGAGGTTACTTAAAAATATTTTTAATTAAAAAATAAAATAACACCTTCTGTTTATTCAGGTAGTCTTAATAATTCCCAGTCATGCTGTGTAATTTTCTGGTGAGAGCTTACACATCCTTAATTAGGTATAATCCTAGGTATTTAATATTTTTACGCTATTGTATGTTTTTAAATCTTCAGTTTGTTTCTCGTTTGTGTGCAGAAAAACAATTGATGTCTGTATATTTCTTGAACCCAGCAAACTTAAGTCTAATAATCTCTCTGTAGCTTGTTTCAGCTTTCCTGCTTATATAATTATATTGCCCGAATAATTAAAGTTTTTTCCCCTTCAATTCCTATCTTCTTTTTCTTGTCATATTCCCTAACTAGGGCCTCTAGTACAGTGTTAAATAGTGATAGCTGCATCTCTGCCTTGTTCCCAGACTCAGAGGAACAATTTCCAATATTTTATCATTAAATGTGATGTTTGCTGTAGAGATTTTCATAGATTTTTTTTTCATTAGATCAAAATTCCCCTCGATTCCCAGTTGCTTGGAGTTTTTCTTTAAATCATGAATGTATGGGGCACCTGGGTGGCTCAGTCGTTAAGTGTCTGCCTTCGGCTCAGGTCATGATCCCAGAGTCCTGGGATCGAGCCCTCCATCGGGCTCCCTGCTCAGCAGGAAGCCTGCTTCTCCCTCTCCCACTCCCCCTGCTTGTGTTCTCTCTCTCGCTGTCTCTCTCTCTGTCAAATATATAAAATCTTTTTTAAAAAATCATGAATGTATAGCGAATATTAAATGCTTTCACTGCATCTATTGAAATAATCCTGACTTTTCCGCTATGTTATTGATATGGTTAAGTACATGGATTGATTTTTCAGATGCTAAAACCACCCTGTATCCTTGAAATAAACCTAATTTAGTCATCACGTATTAGTCTTTTCCTGCAGTTCTGTAGTCAATGTGCTAATATTTTGTTTAGGGTTTTTACATCTCTGTTTATGAAGAAAATT